CAGACTAAACAGTGGAAAAATCATGAAAGATTAAATCATGAATGTAACATTCTGTATCATTTCTATCTCTTCTCTCCGCCAGTTTTATGTAATTTCACAGATGAATCAAACACATGTATGTGAATTAAAGGGCCAACCCTGTGACCTTGGCTAAAATGTACTGTATGTTACCAATGAAACAAACCAAGTGGACTTTTTTTTTGCAGTTCGTTGCGTTATATTCTCCTCTGTGCTTTTCTCTGAAAATAACATTACATACTTAAGAGTCTATTGACGCACCTACGCGTCAATCTAATGAACATAATAAAAAAATCCCCATCAATAGCCGACTTTTAGAGGTTTGAGACTAACCTGAATATGAACAACAAGGGAAAGAACATCAAGCGATGCTTGGCGACTGAGGGGAACTGTTAATATGGGAGATGCTGTATGTCATTATTTCACCTAAGGTGCAAAACAAATGCTTTGCCTTTACATTCTTGAGTGGACGTATGTGTGTATGGATGTGTGTGAACTTATTAGGGGTCCAGGAACCGCAGGTTCCCTAGAGCTCTCGTGTTCTTGAATCAATCTATGAATATATCCTAGTCCAGGGGTCTCCAATCTTTTTTAGCATGAGAGCTACTTTTAAAAAATTTAACATGTCGCAAGCTACTCGGTCTGGAAAAATCCCAGAACACATTTGGATTCGCAATCTACCTGTTGGAGACCCCTGCCCTAGTCACTTCACCAGAGGTCACTTACCATGATTTTATATAGTCAGAATTTGCCCAGTGATGTGTCTTGTGGTCTAACCTAAGAGAGGAGAATTGTGCATTGTTCCCTTACAAAAATGTAAAGTTCCAGGTGAAATAGACAATAGAAACTCAGATATATTTGGATAGTTTGACTTCATAACTATCGCTGCTACATTATTTTCAGTTTCAGGTGTACTATCATCAACTGTCAGCAGGGGGCATTATACTAAGCATATTTAAAGCAGGACAGACTAGTGTACTGACCTAAATGATATGCCTTTTATGGACCAGGGGGAGGAGTGAGGAGGATGTGCATTGATTTTGGCAAAGGTAGGAAACAAGGTAGAATTCCAATCATTTCAACTAAATGAAATATAACCCTTGATTATGAAAAATATGGGATAATGACATTATTGCAACTGTCTTACCTTACCATAACCCCCCAAAAAACAAAGGACTACATGACTAGTCAAAACTGTTGTGGGTCAAGAAAAGAAAAAACACCAACACTGTACACTGTACACAGACACAATACTCCGCTAATTGAGAAATATTCTAATTTCACTCCAGTTTGGGGTTGTTGTCGAGTTGCTCACACATCATTGACTGCTGTGACATGCTAACCAGTGAGATGTGTCTGTGTAAAATTGGGATAGCAGCAGCAGGACACAACAAGCATGAGTCATAGCCCTCAGCTTATTGCCTGGCACTTGTCAGTGACAAGCCCTCAGCCAACCGTCTATGAAGTCATTTACCTTAATTATGCTTTAATTGCAGCACCAACGAACTGTTAATATTATTTACAGGCAAGATATTATTAAATTCAGGCCAGGGCTGTCACTGCAGTTACTAACACTTTAGCCATAAGAGTTAGGAAGTCCAAAAACAGAAAGAACTGAACTGGAGAGTTGATATTTGACCTGAGCAAGGGGTGAGGTTTGAGGACCATGACTGAAGTTGTACTAATATGGATGCCATTAAACATTTAGTTATACCAAGAAATTCACAGATAAAAAAAATGTATGCACCAGATCAAGCCTTTTACCAAATAGGGTTAAGACACGTGGCTGGGAATATGACAGCCTAATGGCTGACCACATAGCATATAGTAACACAAGAAGACCTGCTGAATTATTTAAACAATATAGAAAGAAGATAGAGAAACCAGACCCATCAATGTTATAACATTATGCACTCTGTTTATTTGCCTGAGAGTGATGTCACTTCCTTTCAGAGGACCCAGAATGGCACCTGCACTATGTCACAATTTTAAAGTGTTAGTCTTGCATAGAGCAATGGGAAATATTCTCTTGACTACAAAACACACAACGTCAGTATTTTGTACAAAGACATTCGGTTATTGTTGTGAGTATGTACAGTCAGGAGGAGTTCACCATTTTGTGTAAGGGTTGACCTCTTGGAAAGAAGTAACAATGTCTTTTTTTTATTCCACCTACGTGTATGCCATCCCAATCCTTCTTGCAGTTATATTCCTTGCCTGGGCTTGATTCTGGAGGCAGTCCAAGGAGCCTTTATGTATATTTGCTCACATAACTGCTTGCAATGAAAAAAATAATAATCTCCAGTTATTCTCAGAGACAAAGACTTCCATTGCTAAGTCAATTACCAAATCTGATTCTCTTCCAGTGGCCTTATATAGAGGAATAGGTTTATCTAGGTCTGTGAAATCATCCCTAAAACAGAAAACAAAGAAAAAGCTCAGTACCTGAGTCCAGTATGACAAACATGTTCAAACTATAAAAAAAACTGGTGGAGGAAAGCCTAATTGTGATTTCCAAGCTGAAATTATGCTTACCGCATAAGAACACAAACCTCACAAGTATTTTGTGTAAAACACAATTACACTGAAAAGTAATCTCACATATTATTGAATTGAAAACATAGTTATAAAAACAAACGTATATCCCATACATTGAACTATTGACCCTCAGGACCATGTCTCTGAGAACATCTTTAGGGGGCACATTTATTCAACTTCAACCATTGGGTTTAAGTGGTGGACAGATTAGGCCTGGGTTTGCGGTGAGTTAACACATCATATCCGCAGGTCTTCTTCTTCTAAGCAGTCTCATTTAGATATTCAAGACATAGAACAAACAACATACTGAGGGCCTGTACAAATGAAACAGTGATGTCGATGTGTTCCTTTATTGAGCCTGCATAATGACCTCCCTCCCTTCTACTGGGGCTAAACACCCCGGGGGATGCTTTAGTATCAGACGTAAGCAGTCAACCACATCCTCTGCAAGAGCTCTCTGGCTGTTTACACTAGACTCGCTAAACTTCTCCTCTGTTTCCCTCTGTTCTGTCGCTCCCAAACAGCATCCAGGAGCTCTTTATGTAAGACCCAACTTTCATTAGCCGGCCGCCGTCTAGCCTGAAATTATTTAAACAAGCAAGGCAACCTGCCTTGACACCCACATCAATCACTCGGTAAGGTGTGTTATTGAGACAGAGAAAACAATGAGGACAGCTGGGAAATAGAACACATAGAAATGCATCAAAACACCATCTCACCTGCTGATAACAAGGCCTTCAAAGAGTGTGTGTGTTGTTGTACGTGGATGTGTGTTTGTGTGTGGGGTTGGGGGGGCAAAATCAATTTCACACATGAGTGCGTCGAGGAGACATGAGGCTGAGGCAGACATCTTGATCTGTGCATCAGCCTCTCTGTTTTGAGCCCCACCTGCAGGATATGCAGGAAATGAATGCACTATTAAGTCAACAGTGACTGAGGGGCCAACTATGTATAATAGCCATTAGCAGGAAACCAAGCATCAGGATAATCACCAACCATGCCTCTGCGGGTGACATCACCTCAGCTGATAACGAGAGATGAGAGTTGTCCTCAGGGATAGACAGCAGTATACTTTTACTATAAGAGAGGGTTGTATGGATGCTATGGACATAGCACATGTTTAGGACTGACAAATGTAGAATTCAGTACCTTATCCGTGGAAAGCTGTCCAAAGTTAGAATAGATACCCAAAAGGCTAATACACTATGAAATGATACCTAACGCCCAGAGAGAATTACATAGTCACTATACACTTTCCCACTTCCTCCCCATCTCTCAAGTCCCTAACCAACTGATCTTCTGGGCCTATCTCTGATGGACGCATGGTAGTTGCATTCTACACCAATGTAACACATTCTGATATGGGGAATGACCCTTCCACTGACCTCTGTAATCATGATGCACAATAACAAGTACCCACATATGCAAAAAAAAAAAAAACCCCGAAATCAGAGGAAATGTTCCCAAAACAAAGGGTTTCACCAGGTTCCTACAATATATTCCTTTGTGAGTTAATAAGAAATAAGAATATTGATTAATGAATACATGAATACACAATGTTCCAGAAACAGACTATGTAAAAGAAAAACACATCATTTCATAGTTGAACATTCAAACAAAGACTTCCTAGAATGTTTTTGGAGGGAATGTACTCAGAATATGGAACTAATAGGGCTTAGAGGAACATTATCCCCTGGAAATGTTGTTTGTAGGGTACTGAGCAAAGTAGGCCAGCATGTATGGTAACCTCATTCTACGCTTGTTAACAAAGCTTGGTCGAGGTTCGCTGTACGGGCTTGGGAGTGCAATTAGATTTGAGAGGACAAAATGGATCTACTTCTGATACCAGAACAAATGACAACATACACAGATATCTACTGGTGTTTATCAGTAACGGAGAAAATACACCCCAAATCTGCTTGTCTATGCATCTTCTTCTTGACACCTTGTGACTTGTAGTGTGTCCGGCTCACCCTCAGTGATATTATGATTCATAATCCTTTGTCATTGTAGCAATGCCTGCTAAGACTAGAGGGATCTATTAGCTGTTTTCTCTAAGATCAGGAATTACTGTATTTTGCTTCAGCGAGGGTACTTACTAACATTAAAACAACTAACCTCTGTATAACAAACCGTTACTGTATTGCATATTGGATATGGCCACTCAGGGTATGGCCTAGTCGATTCAGACATATTTGGAATGGTTTTGTTGCCATGCTCATTCTCAGAAGCCCTGTAGAAAATTAAACAAACAGGTGTTCTGAGATTAGTATTCCTGGGTGTAATCATTTGAGGCTCTTGTCCAGCATGTTTGGTTTCCTTGTCATTTCATCTTCCGTTTCTCCAGAGCTCTGATAGGATTCAAGAGAACCCATTGTCGTTATCCCGTCATTATACATTTTGTAGAAAATGATTCCCCAGATCACCACAAGAGGAGCTAGAAACTAGATTTGGCCTCGAAATTTGGCCTCCATGGTGTCTTTGGACAAGTAAACCACCCAGTAGACCATGTTGAATGCTCCAAAGGACACTGGGAACAGGATGCGAGCGTACTTGTCGATTTTACTGGTCCCGCCCATCCCGGCGGTGGTCGGCTGGGAGCATGGTGACTGCTTGGGCTCATTTTTGCCCATCAGCTGAATGTGCTGCAGTCTGGGTCCCAGGAGGTCCTGGAGGGAGGAGTCAGCGGTGGGCTGGCTCTGATTGGCTGGTATTGTCGAGGTGGTGGGTGGAGCCGGGGGCGTGTTCTTGACGGACAGGGTGGAGGAGGCGTTGGGTTGGCTGGCGGGGCCGGGGCTGGAGTGTGGTAGGATGATGGCGCCCCCAGTCGCCCCCGTGGATGAAGACGATTGGCCAGACTGGGGTTGTTTCCTGGTTACCCCTGTAGCTGCTGCGCTGTTGGACTCAGCTTTCTGGCCGTCTTGCTGGGACATGTAGTTCATCCGTTTTCGAAGGTTACCGTTGGTGTCAGGGTTACCGTTGGGGTCAGGGTTATGCTATGGAGGAGGAAAAATGAACAAGAAACCCATATTGCAGTGATGTGAATGAACTGTGCAACAACAAGCACATACCTCGAAGAGGAGACATTAGACTGAAAATAGATTTCACTTAATTATTTGTGGTAAGGTCCAATATGACAATTGTATTGTGCTGGTAAATATGAACTATATAGATCTCTCAGTTCTGGAGGACTATCAGGTTGTCAGGAAACAGTCAGGAACCTCTCATTCTAAACCTGGCCTATGGGCCTGAATATGACTGGCTTACTTTAGTCTGTATGGTAGAATAACCCAGCTCACAGACGTTATTTGGGTAGGCTTTCACTCATTTCACACATGCTTATGTCACAAGTACTGTTCCATGGGGCGGCGTGGCAGTACAGTAAAACATCATAAGAGCGTATCTCCTGAGAGCTAGCATAGCATTCCAGCCCCAGTAGAGGGAGATGCTGCACTCTAACCACAGCACCACAGCCTCACCAGTAATAATTCCCCCACTGGAATCTGCTAACCGACTAACCTTATAGCCTCCTGTCTGAGAGATGTGAGGCGCTAGGCTAAGTTTGACAACACTATGGCTGGAAGGTAAAAGGCTTAGACAAATCTATGCCACATCAACACACACCACAGGTCCTAATGCCGAGCGGATTTCCCCACTGATTTCAACACTGGGGCTGGGGCCGCGGCTCTCTAGGAAAAGAGGCTTCTGAAACCTATATACATGTGCCCCGGCTGCGTTGCCGTGGCAACCTGCTAATCCGTTGATGTGCCCTTGTCACTAAACTGCATTCAGGCTCGATTATTCCACACGAGGATTTGAGATCCACAGGGAAACTTTAAGTAGTCTTCGGGCCATACAGGGGGATGTATGGCTGTTTTCTGGTGAGTATCAGCCATCAATCAACAGTTGGACTGTGACGTGAGAAATGTAGCACCGCACGATGTAATGCCCTCAAATGAAGGATTGTGATCTTACTACAGTAGGCCTGTGTTTCTGGTAGATCACACATGTATGGAGTAATGAATTCAAGAAAAATATGTTTGGTCAACCCCCATTACGCGCTTCAGCACGCATTCGAGAGAACAGATTGTAAAATGCTGAACAACAATAACATGTTTACATCACATTGCAACTACAGGTACATTATTTTAACTGTTTAAGATGTTACCCATTCTATAACGAATGTTTTCGAAACACGTTTATTTTCATGCTGAAGAGTTTAAAAAAAATACTATTATAAGAAAGCAAGCACATGTAGGACATTCAGAGCATATTTAGAATTTTTAGGGATAATATTGCTAAGCCTCTGCGGTGGATTACAAATGGCGTGCATTGATCTAAGCAGACAGCTGTGCAGCTGTCCTCGAAACGGGCCAAACAATGTGTCTTCACCATTTACTATTCTTATTTGGCCTTCAGGAAGCGAATCGTCATCATGCTTCTAGCTCATGATATCATGGAGAGGGGGAGGAGAGAGAGTGAGAGAGAGAAAGAGGGGTACACAGAGAAAGAGAGAGGTACAGAGAAAAAGAGGGGGGAGAGAGACTTCAAACTTTATCAATGATCAATGATAAAAGTATCCTTCAGTTACGGTATTGTCTGATATTTTCAATGCATGCAAATAACTTTATTTGAATGGGTGATCACCATGTGATTAATGAAATGTACATTACATTTACGTCATTTAGCAGACGCTCTTATCCAGAGCGACTTACAAATTGGTGCATTCACCTTATGATAGCCAGTGGGACAAGCACTTTACAATGTTTGTTTGTATATTTTTCACCAAAAACATTTTGAGTATATTTTTTATTTTCATTTGTTTTTTATATATATATTTTATTTATAATAATAATAATAATAATAATAATAATAATAATTATTATTATTATTATTTATTTTTTAAATGTGGGGGTGGGGTGGGGGGGTAGAAGGATTACTTTTATACTATCCTTAAAGAGGTAGGGTTTCAAGTGTCTCCGGAAGGTGGTCAGTGACTCCGCTGTCCTGGCGTCGTGAGGGAGCTTGTTCCACCATTGGGGTGCCAGAGCAGCGAACAGTTTTGACTGGGCTGAGCGGGAACTGTGCTTCCGCAGAGGTAGGGGGACCAGCAGGCCATAGATGGAAAAACGCAATGCCCTCATTTGGGTGTAGGGACCCAAATAAAATGCCAGTCATTGTAAAAGCCTCTTTAATTCTCATCCCTGTCACAAAAAAATAGTATTCAAAGCAAATCGGAAAGTTTGAAAAAACATGACGTTTCAATAACACTCATATTTTAGACTTGAATTGAATCTCCATTTGATGAGATTAGCAAACAAATGAATGACGGGGAGTGCACAAGTGCACACTTTAGTCTCTGAAGGGTAAAGGGCCCCGTGTAGCTCAGTTGGTAGAGCATGGCGCTTGCAATGCCAGGGTTGTGGGTTCGTCTCCCACGGGGGGCCAGTGTGAAAATTGTATGCACTCACTGTAAGTCGCTCTGGATAAGAACGTCTGCTAAATGACTAAAATGTCAATGTAAAAAATGGAATAAGGATAGGTCTTAAGTCTCACCTGCAGAACTTCCTCCTTCACCTTCACCGGGGTTGTTTGGGGCGCCGGTGGGCATTTTGGCGGCATCCTTTTCAGTCTCTCCATCTCTGCGTTGGTGAAGTAGTTGACGGCAGCGAACTCGATGAGGGCAGAGAAGACAAAGGCGAAACACACAGCGATGAACCAGTCCATGGCCGTGGCGTAGGAGACCTTGGGGAGGGAGTGGCGTGCACTGATGCTCAACGTGGTCATGGTCAGGACTGTGGTGATGCCTGAAAATGAGAAAAAGTTTAACCTTGGCTGTACCAAAAATAATACAAGTCATGTCAACACACTCAAATAATAGAACTAAAACAGTAGGCCTAACCGTCCTATATATCAGAATTACTCAAACTTTTCCTCAGGGACCCCCAGCTGTTCAATGTATTTGATCTATTCCAGGGCTAGCACACCTGATTCAACTGATCAACTAATCATCAAGCACTTAACTAATTGAATCAGGTGTGCTAGTTCAGCGCTACAACTTTTTTGAAAATCAATGAAAATGATTTAGTAAATTCAGCACACAAATCAATGAATGACAGCCTAATGCATTATATGAAAAACAGGAAACGGAATGTTTGTGACACTAGAATGACCTGTAAACCTCCTGTCGATTACCTATTGACCTTTGCTTCCAATGCGTTCCATCTTAATGAGATTGCCCTAGTGACCACGTAGCATACCTACTTTCCCTCGTCTCCAATTCCTTTTTAAACAATAACCAATCCGAACTGCGCCAAGGATTATACCATTACAATAACTGGGGAGTTACAGTAAGCTTGTAGGTCACTTGTCCTTGGGATTATTAGCAAATAGCTATAATGTGATTTAGAGAAAATCACCTTTAAGTTAGAGATATGACACAATCTGTACAGCCAGGCCACCTGCTCTGACGTGACCCGCAGCATAATTATGTGTCTAAACTCAGCCGACCACCGGACGATTCTGTAATGTATGATTCCGAGGACGAGAAATCCAGAGGTAGATATTAGCTTTAATATTAGGATATTAGTTAATATTAGTGTCTTTCATTGGGTTATTTGACGAGATCAGAGGCACAATTGTTCTTGGTACAGATTAATGAGGTGTGACTGATTTAATCAGATGAGCTATAATAATCAAATTAGTGAGTAAAGGCTGTTTCTGTTGGAATACAGGCATCTTCATTCCTCATCTTGTGACACATTGTTTAGATTAGAACTCATTGCTTTGGAGTTGCTTGGATTAGGACAGAATGGGTAACATGACCAGTGCATGTTCAAGAGGCAGAGCCAGTTTCATTAGCCTGGTCCCAGATCTGATTGTGCTGTCTTGCCAACCCCTATGGCCTTTGTTACGCCAGACATTGATTGGCCAAACAGATCTGAGACCAGGCTTTTATTTGACGTCAATGTCAATTTCCAACATCACCAGACAATAACATCTTGAGCCTCAAGGGGAGCTTCTTAATCATCCCTCAAGTCAATGTCTTTATTTTCCTAGTAACCATAGTCCTACAATCATTATATGTGCCAGTCTTTGAGTCACAGAGGCAGAAAATGGAACATTGCATCGTAGAAAGAGGAGAGAAGAGAAGAAAAAAGCAGTCAGCCCGTGCGTGCACCCACCCACACACACCTACACCTACAAGCTGTAACAGCCCCACAGCCCGGGGGCTTGGCCAATGCGACAATATGTATATTCCCACGACACCCTCCTGTCACAAATTGGACAGTTTCATTAGCTCGCCGCTGAGACGGGAGGTGGGGGGGGGGGACTGAGGGGACTCACTGGGGCGTTGTGTGAATCAGTGTGGCTGTGGAATAACACATTGGCCTCTACAGCTGCTGGGATATGACTCAGCTATATGTGTGTCCCTGAAAGAAAGTCAGCGGGCTAAACGAATAGGCCCACAGATGCAGTCACCAACATCATGTGGGGTAGCATGTAACAAAAGCCAAAAGTGGGTGCTCAGAGGAATGTATCTTTCCATCAACACATGCAAGGGCAAAAAGCAATTACCTACTCATGACATTAAACCTACTGTATTTATCAACTACTAAACCCACTGGATCAGCCAAAACAGCACTTTTCCATAGCAAAATATGCTCCAATTATTTTACAGTGGTGCTCATGAAAGTTACACAACCTCATAGACACCCATATAACCAACACCCCAGCAATCACCATATAACCAACACCAAAGCAATCACCCATATAACCAACACCCAAGCAATCACCCATATAACCAACACCCCAGCAATCAATAGCAAAGGAATAGAAGACGCTAGTAGGAGGACAGCATTACGCCTCAGAAACCACAGACCTTACATTACTCAGCCACATACACTAGATTTATTTTATCCTAATAGGACCCTATCCTACACAGCTAATCCTCTACAACCAGGGATGGAATTGAAGGATTTTGGGCACTGGCCAGCCAAGCTAGTAGACTGCAATTTTTACTAGACCGTGTCCAAAATATGTGCTATGGGATATTTCAAAAGAGGAAAATGTCACTAGCCGGCGGGCTAGTTTGGCACATTTTCTACTAGTCCCGTCTGAAAAGTACTAGCCACAGGCTAGCTAAAATTCCATCTCTGTTTACAACTCGCTCAAAAAAATGCCAAGAGAGATGAATTAAGTGCTAAAGTTCAGTTCAGTTCAGTAAACTAAATGGGCATAAAAAAGAATAAGACTGAAGACTATAATACAAGAAATGGGTACTTAATTATGCAATACAGAAATGCTGATTTACATGGAGTACTTGTAAAAGTCTAATTATGAAAGGAAGCGAAAGGTGCTGTGGAATTGATAGGAGACCAAGCAAACAGACAGAGGATATTTTGCTGAACATCTGGTAAAGTAAAGTACACTAATTCCATGAAAGTTGCACAAGGTTCCCAGCTCTGACTCCACCCACAGTGGGGCTCTAACACTTCTGTTTGTAAACAAATGGGCGTATTGGCAAATGCTTCTGCCACTTTGATGGATAACAATCAGTGGTGACCCGTCATTCAGGGCAGGCAGAGCCCCGCCTGTTTTGCTAGCTAATGGGATGCCTGTTTTGCGTGTTATTTTGGCATGAACACGTGTCACATATCAGTTTGCAAACAATGTAAAAAATTATTATTTTTTTAAATAATGGAGGTAATAAAGCTGCAAACTTGGTCAATTTTTTGCTTTCTTGAGTAAGGCAGTTCAGCCTAGCTCAGTGCTTTCTGTGGTGGTGGTGGGGCTGCCAGCTGAAAATACGGAGCGTAAGGGTTGGTAATGTTCTCTAGTTTGCGCCGTGATTGGCTCTGTGTTCTGTCACTCATGGGTACACTACGCCACCGCCAAATCTAAGGGTAGAGCTCGAAAATTCAAGCCCCTTGGGTGCTGCCATAGAGTTACATTATAAGTGCCCATCCAAGGCGGCTCAAGGTCAATGGCCACAGATAAAATGACGTCAAATCACATTATATCTACAGCAGCTTTGATTGGACTGATCATGTCAACATCATACTTTCAAAATCTTAGCTAGCAAGCTCGCAGTCATCATCATGAATCAAATCGACAATCTACTGGCAAATCCTTTTTAATCGTTGTTATGCGAAGATAAATAATGAAGAGAAATGATTATAGATAAAATGTATCGGTGCTCATCGGCCAATGGATATAAACATTACACAACAAGTTGGAAATCGCAAATTCAACTATGAGTGGTTTGGAAGCTTTGCAAAGCAATCACTAGCCTGCTATTCAGTGGAGTGTGTGTGTGGTCCCAAGTCTGGGTTTAAGGGTCTCTTTTCCAAGCTTAAAAGGATAAACATTCAACATTGGCCATGGTGTCAATCCAGTATGATTTCTGCCGTGCTCAAAACAACTGGAAACTCAGAACTGGGAAATCCGATTTCAGTGAGTTCAAGACAACGGGGAACTCTGAAAAAAACGAGCTCCGACTCGGAAAATACGTTTTGAACAGTCATCCAACTCAGAATTGCAAGTCGGGAACTCGGGCCTCTTTCTAGAGCTCCGACCTGAAGATCATTGACTTCATCACGATTCAACCTTGTTTTTTTCCCGAGTTCCCAGTTGTCTTGAAAGCACCATAAATCCAGAGAAGACAGACTTTGATGACAAAGTTTGATGACTAAATTTGCCCACGAAGGACCGCTGCGCCACCTTCCTGTTCAAGTGAGCACAACACAACAAGGTGAGTCCAAATATGTATTGTATGCTGCTGCATAAATGATGTAATATGCCAGGGAGATATGTATACTGTAGCTAAGAAAGTAATACTAAGTGTATGTTGTGTAGTAAGCTGTTAGTAGCCCATGTGCCTCACCCTAATAATTTGGTCCCGTTTCCCCTCCTAATTTCGCCTACTGTTCTGACTTGGTGGTGCACATGTAGCCTATAGCCTGTTTTAGAGAAATATAATCATTGAATACTGTAAGAGCTTTCATTGTCTGCTTATATGCCCCCTTTCTTTATTATATGGTTCTGACTTGGTGTCCAGGGAGAATACTGTAAGAATGGCCCATGTTCTGAATTCTGTCACTGTACATTTCAAAAGTGCTGAACAAATAGTTATGTTGACTACATCCGTCCTAGCTCGCTCATTAATGTCTTAATCGAAATTACAGATTGCCTCTTATCCGCTTGTCGTCCCCTTATGCCATAGTTTGTACATCTCAATTGTCAGTAGAAACAACATTTGTTTAAGCAAGTCAGCCATATCAGCTATGTTTTTTTTAAAGGCAGTAAATGAGGCTGAATGAACTGTTTCGCTGCTAGACAAGGCTCCACTGATAGCCAGGTGTAGCAGTGGTAAGGTGTTGGGACTCTGCTGTTGGGGCAGCTTTATGTAGGCCCTAACAGTGTGTGGGCACCTTTTGTCACTGTTATAGTGGAATTGATGTATTGTTTAGTGTTGTGTTGTGTAGTGGGTTTGCTGGCATGCATATAAAAAATAGTTTTTTTTGTTTGCCGCACCAAGATTTACATGCTAAAATCGCCACTGATAACAATAATAGATAACACATTTAATTAATCGTAGACCTTAATGGTTGTCTAAGAGGCTAAAGACAAAGTTGATTGCTCCAGCTGCACAGTCACTAAAATGGAGACTGAGAGACAAACAGAAGAGGCACTTCACTCTCCACATTTGCATCTTCTCTGCCTCTCAACAGAAGTATTCTACAGAATGGCGGGATTTGTGAGTAATACGTACCAAAGACTGTTCGAGCCGGGACCGATTCCTTATTTATCCAGAAGGACACTTGGGAGAGGATTACTGTCATGATGCAGGGGATATACGTCTGAATCATGAAGTAGCCCATTTTCCGCTTCAAGTGGAAGTGCACTGTCATCACCACATATTCACCTGGCGGATAGCCATAGATATCACAGTTGATTAATTCATGACTGACATGAGACAATGAGCAAGAGGACAGGACATTATGGACTTCTGGTAGCATGGAGTTTTTATTGTGTCTTCTCTGTTCTCTGAGGTAAATGGCATCAAACAGTTATTTGGACAAAGCTACTGTAGAGAAAACATTCCAAACTGAAGTAAGAACTGAAGAAGAAATGTAAATGATTATTAACAAAGAATGGCATCACCATCAGAGTTGGGGATGTCTACTATATCTAACCAGCGGTTGCTTTTCAACAACCCATCATACCTGTGATTGATTTGACCTCCTCACTGCTGACAGTGTGGCCAATGAGATCGTACTGCACTAGGCTGGAGGATTCTTGGGGAACCTCCACTGAATTCTGTGGTCCTTTGGTCCAGGTATAGATCATCTCTGTTTTAGGGTATGCATCTGAGGGTGGAGAAGGAAAATATATGGATTAAACCCTCAAGTGGGGGGTTGAGGCACATTCTAAATTGTAGCTCAAAAATAAATATTGTACAATGGAGGTGAGAGAGAGAGAGAGAGAGAGAGACTTAGGATAGAGAGAATGTCACATTTAAGTTCATGAGAGAATGACTACTGTAAGCCAGTAATATCCTCTTCATAACTCTAAGCTTTGTGAACATGAGAAACGTTTCTATCTCCCCCATTTAGTCAGGTGATTACGACACATTTGAAAGAGACATATTGATGTGATGGTGTGCAGTCCAGTCACACATGATTTCCACACTTGATCTGCACTTCAAATGGTGCACTCTCTGGATTTTCAGATACCTTTTCCTCATAATTTGATTGAAAATGAGTAGTACGATAGCATCGTATTGGATGGCGTGGGTGTCTACTGTGTGCTCAAATGAGTCGGCTTTTAAACAAACTACCCGGTCTCACGAGCTCTCTGGTACATGTCAACGTTTTTGCATATTCAACGTTGCAAAGATGTTGCAAAAACATTTCAATGTGAGATGAGAGTTCCTATAAGACAGGGCTGAAAGAAAAACGACAACCTAGACTTGGGTTTATGTCAGGGTCTGTCTCCAGCTACACATGCCCCCTTACGTTGTTCCCATTTGCAGTTTCCCACAGGGGACTCGAAGTCGGCAGGACACCAACTGCGCCGGGAAAATGGGCCGGCTGGGGCATGTTGTGGAGCAGAACGCTGCGCGGCACTCCGACACACACCAGCTCTGGAGAGAACCGGAATAGGTCTGAGCTAACCAGGGGCAGGGAGAGATTTTCTGACCTTTCCCCATCGGGTCCAACATCTACTTCCCTGACTCGGGCCAGGATGGGAGGATGAGATGGGTGGAAGGTACTATCTTAAACTAAGAGTAATGTGACAGAATGATAACTGAGGAATCTATTTTGTCCTCTACCTCTACAATGTCACAATTGCTGATAATAGATTGAGGGAGGGTTGGGAAATGCAGGGAAACCCATCCTTCATTCCACTTCTTTTGTTTTTCCCTCAGCAGATGTTATCTTTAAATCACTACTGTTTTCTGACAAGACAGAACGCTCATTGGAGAGATCCTTTCATCGGAGATAAGTCACTTTTGCTGACCACTCATTATGAACAATACTGCTGATTTTGGGTTTCTTTGTTCTGTTTTTGGTACAAAAGGAATGTAATGTATTATTAGCATTTTAGTCAGAAAAAGCAATTACTTCTCACTCTGGGAATATGTATGGCATCCTCAGATATGACAAAACTGGAGGAATACCACAAGCTACGAGTTTGACACTTCATATGGTAATAGTATTACAATATAATGGTATATATTTTCAAATCAAACTAGTCAACTTTATTTATGTGACGAACTGGGACAGATTTAGTGCATCGAAGTACAAATATGTTTTTTAAAAACATTGCATACTAAATGAATTAAGACAAAGAACAAATTAGTTTACTGTGAAAGCATGTAAGCACGTAAACAGTGTCAGGTTGAATATCTACTAAGAAACAGTACAATTGGATTTGCTTTGGGGTGTATGTCAATACATACACAGCGTTCCGAAGTATGCATGTCATCCTATTTAATACAGTCTCATGACAAGGACGAAGAACCACTTTATCAAGTCACTCCTGATACATTATTAGAATAGACTTACAGTGTCATATCATACTTACAGCTTCCAAACTTGAGAGGGCATGCATGTCCATCCATGGGGAAGTCAACCAGCTTCATAGGACACTCTGCACTGATAGTCAACCTATGGGGACACATACACCCAAACATATTAAAACCAATGGGAGTTGGAGAGAGTTGGGACCCTCCAAACAGAACACAAAAATGTATACAGTGGAGCCCTACTTTTAGGATGGATACTGTAGGTAGGCTGAATAGCACTTAGCATGGTAACACTGGGATGCTGGGTAATGTAGGCATCAGGGTGTAAAGCATTTTGGTAAATGTAGTACCTCATGGTGTAAAGAATGGTGCCGTTCTTCATGATGCGGAACAGCCTGTTGGGGGCGGTCATGTTGTGGGCCACAGACTTCTTGCCATTCCTGAAGAAGGTGTCTGGAGTCCACACATTGGAGACCATCATGTTGTTGAGGCGGAGGATCTCCATAGGCCCCTCGTACCTCAGCCTCCTGTCCATCCATGTCTGTCTGAAGAACACGTCCATGGTGTACTCCTGAGGAAGCAAAAGACAAAAATGGGCAAATGTCAGAAATAAACAGTTATGGTTGGGACTTCATTCTTATATAAAACGTTAAGTGCATGGTGAACATCAGTCAAACTTATTTTATGCTACTCATCTGTTTCAAGTTCTTGATTCGGTACATACCATCTCAACATCAGAGACAGGCCCGAAACTTGTCACATAAATGTCTGTTTTCACCTCTGTCACTGGACCTATTGAGAGAACAATTCAATCAGCTTCACAATCCCTAGAATATCCTAGGCATATCCCATTACAGCCCCAAGAGACCTTAGACTAGTTCTGGTTTGTTAGGCCACCCTTTAAGCATCAACCCTCATTTTAACCGTCATTTTCACCTGTAGGCCTGGAATAATATGTTAAACATGAAACCTCAGCAACAGCCTAACATGGGCCAAAAGGTTGGGTTGATAGTGCTGTGGGGATGTGTGCCAAAACGACTAACCCAAATAGCCGCCAATGCCCTGTATGCAATAGCCTATAGCTTATGCCTACCAAATAACCTGCACCAGCTTCTAAGCATGTATATAATGGAATGCAAAATAGCTAAAGAGGTTTAAAACATAAATCTATTGGAGGAAGCCGATCAGTAGCTAATCTATACAATGCACACTTGAAGGGTGAGTTCTGAAGTTTACGTGCCGTGAGGTGGAATGTTTTTTAGGGTTGAGTTGAAGAGCGTAGCCTAAGGTATTTTCAAGCACACCGACATGCATGTCAAATGTCATTGCTGTAGGCCTAATGAACGAAAACGAGGTTACTTCTCGTTAAATGCATAGTCTTTAAACGTGTGTCTGACACTTTAAGCTCGTGGAGGATTTGACAGACGCGAAAAGAACATCTGCACTCTTTCTACTTAAATTGTGCACTAAGCGCCTTTTCCCACAGCGATTACATAACTAAACACGCTTAAATATTTAAAGGTAGCATACCGTTATCAGTCGCACACAAGAGTCAAAGCAGTGAATATAAGAAAGTGTTAATTCAATTCATGACAACCAGCTTTTGAAACACGGAATGTCGTTTCACATCTGTGGGAGGTAGTGGTCGTAGCTCAGTGGAGCAACACGTTTCACTTGAAACAGTATTGAAAAGCTCTTATTGAAAAATACAATGCAATTTTGATCTCAACCTCATACCCTATCAAACTATTCAATAGCATTGGCACAATAGTGATAATCATGTTTTGCCCATCTCTTTGAGCCACTGTAGAATTAAAAACTAATTGGACAGCCGAAAACTGTTACTGCTTCAGGTAGGTACCTACCCCCAAATCCAGGTCGCAGTCTGTTGTCATACCCGTCCAGGAGTCGGTCTAAAATGCGTGTGAAATTCTCGGGATATATTCTCTCATCCTTTTTTATCATTCCAGAGATTCTCTTTACACTGAAAAACGACACAAATAATCAAAATAGTTTTATATCGTGAAAGACAGCAGCCTCCCGGATACCCAGGCTAAGGATGACAAAATTGGGAGTCACAACCATATGACACAGTTAGAGCACTTTCGGATTTCAGCACCTAGAATCTTCAGGACCATGGACAGCGGCACCAGCGCAGCTCGCGCCAATCTAACAGGAGAAAAGCAATTCTAACAGGAGAAAATCCCCCCCCCCCCCCAGTTCATGTATTTTAGAAACTCACCAAGCAGTCATGCAGAAAAGGTAGAAGAGAGTCGAAATGTAACTGGGGTACTTCGCAGTCACCATCTCCTTCTTGGCAGAAACCATCTTTGCATGCCATACTTTAAGCCTCTTCACATCTCCCTTCACCAAATGTCTTGTCCCAAGGAAAGATTAGAGCCAGAGAGACAGAGAGAGCAGAACGGCGCAAAAGCAACTCCAGCAGCATCTCCCGCTATCTCTCTCTTGCCAGGGAAAAAAGCCCGTGCCAGCGGAGCATCTGAAGGCGCGCACCTTTCTGGCTGTCGCTCGATGACTTAACCAAATACCTTCTTCTCTCAGTTGTTGGCATCCACCCCACGTCCAGTATGTATCCTCTCCCTCAGTCTCACACCATCGTTTGACTTGAGAGATGAATAGAATAGACGTGCAAAGTACACTGTTCTGCGATGAAACGTGAGATTGTATGGCAAAATTGGGTTGTGCTTCTGCCCCTCAATAAATCCGGTGGTGACACCAACAGCTTTGGATTGAGGATATGACTGCTTGTACTTAGTTACTACCCCCCCAGAGCCATAAGCTGAGAAGAAAATATTATATGACTGTTTTTTAGGGGGAGAAATATGTCAAATATTCAGTTTTTGATTGTAAGTGTGCAGAATCAACCTTTTCTGCATCAGTCCATCACTTCACCTTATCTAAAGCAATTGATGAGACTTAAGGAGTCATATTGCTTGTTGTGGAACTCTGTATAAGACAGCATTCTAGATTCAAATGGGTCAGTCTTGTCGCAATATGCAATCACACACGTATACACACACACACACAGTATCGTGTAGCTCAATTGGTAGAGCATGGCGTTTGCAACGCCAGGGTTGTGGGTTCGATTCCCACGAGGGGCCAGTATGAAAATGTATGCACTCACTAACTGTAAATCGCTCTGGATTAGAGCGTCTGCTAAATGACTGAAATGTAGAGAAACTGGGACAAGCCACATGCTGCTTCACAGATTTCTCTGGACCTGAGATAGGAACTTCAGAGAGACAGTGTATGTGTGTCCTAAATCTTTACAGGTAAGGAGAGCTTAGAGGAAAAGTGTGTGTTTGTGTGTGCCCCGGTCCGTGCATGTGCCCCGCTGAGCCTATGCCCCTGAAGGTGGGGTGCGGGTAAAATCCCAATCTCATGGGACAGACAAGATGTCTGGTTTCCACAACACTGGTTAGTTATCTCACTTGGCTTTTTACGTGCAGCTGCTCTGCAACCAGACAGAACATAACTGTCTTGGCTCTTACACAGTACTGGCTTTAACAGAGGAGAAGCTAATTAGGACTCTGTTTGTTGGGAGGCTGAACAATGTGCTGGCAACACAGGAGGTTGTTTTGGAGCTGGAAATGTGCACACAGTGAACAGTCAGAGTGAACCTGGTATGCGTCCCAAATGGTACCCTATTCCCTACATAGTCCACTTATTTTAGTCGGGCCCATAGGGTTCTAGTCAAAAGTAGTGCACTTTATAGGGAAAACTAGTGCACTACATAAAGAATAGGATGCCATTTAGGATGCAGCCCTGGAATCATGTGGTAACAGCAGTTTCCTATATTCTACCAACAACCCTGCTGTCTACCATGGTCCACCCACAACACACTGAAGCATAGCTGTTTTCTTTGTGTGGGATGAGTAATGCGCATGCTCTTTATGATGGGGGCTTTGTTCCAACTATAACACCTTATACAGTGCCTTGCAAAAGTATTCATCCCCCTTGGCGTTTTTCCTATTTTGTTGCATTACAACCTGTAATTTAAATGTATTTTTGTTTGGATTTCATGTAATGGACATACACAAAATAGTCCAAATTGGTGAAGTGAAATTAAAAAAATAACTTGTCTCCAAAAATTCAAAAAAATAAATAATGGAAAAGTGGTGGCGCATATGTATTCACCCCCTCTGCTATGAAGCCCCTAAATAAGATCTGGTGCAACCAATTACCTTCAGAAGTCACATAATTAGTTAAATAAAGTCCACCTGTGTGCAATCTAAGTGTCACATGATCTGTCACATGTTCTCAGTATATATACACCTGTTCTGAAAGGCCCCAGAGTCTGCAACACCACTAAGCAAGGGGCACCACCAAGCAAGCGGCACCATGAAGACCAAGGAGCTCTCCAAACAGGTCAGGGACAAAGTTGTGGAGAAGTACAGATCAAGGTTGGGTTATAAAAAAATATCATAAGCTTTGAACATCCCACGGAGCACCATTAAATTAATTATTAAAAAATTGAAAGAATATGGCACCAAAACAAACCTGCCAAGAGAGGGCCGCCCACCAAAACTCATGGACCAGGCAGGAGGGCATTAATCAGAGAGGCAACAAAGAGACCAAAGATAACCCTGAAGGAGCTGCAAAGCTCCACAGTGGCGATTGGAGTATCTGTCCATAGGACTACTTTAAGTCGTGCACTCCACAGACCTGGGCTTTACGGAAGAGTGGCCAGAAAAAAGCCATTGCTTAAAGAAAAAAATAAGCAAACACATTTGGTGTTCGCCAAAAGGCATGTAGGAGACTCCCCAAACAAATGGAAGAATGTACTCTGGTCAGATGAGACTAAAATTGAGCTTTTTGGCCATCAAGGAAAATGTCTGGCGCAAACCCAACACCTCTCATCACCCCGAGAACACCATCCCCACAGTGAAGCATGGTGGTGGCAGCATCATGCTGTGGATGTTTTTCCATTGGCAGGGACTGGGAAACTGGTCAGAATTGAAGGAATGATGGATGGCGCTAAATACTGGGAAATTCTCCAGAGATTTGAGACTGGGACAGAGGTTCACCTTCCAACAGGACAATGACCCTAAGCATACTGCTAAAGCAACACTGTGGTATGACTTAAAGATTGCTGTACACCAGCGGAACCCATCCAACTTGAAGGAGCTGGAACAGTTTTGCCTTGAGGAATGGGCAAAAATCCCAGTGGCTAGATGTGCCAAGCTTATAGAGACATACCCCAAGTTAAATAGTTATGCACGCTTAAGTTCTGTTTTTTTGTCTTATTTGTTGTTTGTTTCACAAGAAAAAATATTTTGCATCTTCAAAGTGGTAGGCATGTTGTGTAAATCAAATGATACAAACCCCCCAAAAATCCATTTTAATTCCAGGTTGTAAGGCAACAAAATAGGAAAAATGCCAAGAGGGGGTGAATACTTTCGCAAGCCACTGTATATGTTATTAAATTATAATGTGTACATTTCACATGAGGACTCTGGGTATGTACAGAAAATAATTGGACATATATGTAATAGTACTCATAAATGTATGCAATGGAATGTCATAAAGTGTTTTATTAAAAAAGGCATGTAAAGCCTATTATGCTATCTTGACCTTTCATAGTCTAACCTGACCTCTGTCTTAGAGATAACATAATGTATTGTAGCCTTAAAATAAGGGACATTGTTTTAGTCTCAAGATAATAACGTGCTGCTTTACAATTAGGACAGGATGGTGATGAGAGAAATCAACATATTTTAGTGTGTGTGTGTGTGTGTGTGTGTGTGTGTGTGTGTGTGTGTGTGTGTGTGTCTGTCAGTGTCTGTGTGTGTTTGGTAGATCACGTCCCAGGACTCCTTGAAACAGGTTCTCTTGCTCTGTAAGCTATATACCCTGCAGCAAAATAACTGCTATGATAACCTAGTTTCTCACCTGTGCGTGTGCCCGTGTGTGCAAATACATGTTTGTGTGTGAGCATGTGTACAGCACATGCAGCCATGTGTGTGTGTGTGTGTGTGTGTGTGTGTGGCTATACGCCTGGGTTTGTGTGTACATCCATGCTGAAATATGCTTGTTTAAAACCTAAATGCCAGGAAGAGAAAATAAGATATTTCCTTTGGTACACACTGTAACCAACACAAAGTTGTGTGCATACTCCAGACATTTTACTGACATGCTGACAGTCAGTATCCCCTCAAATATAGATTTACAGTAAATTATGGTATTTTAACAGAAAACGAAGCCATACAAATGCCATTGTAGCTGTATATTAAGCATGTCATTGCATTGAGTACACAGAATGTAATGGGCAGGTAGAGAGAGAAAGCTGCCCCTTTGTACTGGGGCTGTGATTGATGAGGCTACACGGCGGTGTTGGCACATGAACCCAATGAGTCAGAACCGTGAGTCAAGCTGTCTAGTAATCACACCCCAGCCAAACACTGACATCTTAGCTAAACAGAGGCACATCAAGCACAGGGAAAGAGAGAACATGAAATATGATATGTTGCAGCATTAAACCCTCTACTGCATCAATGCCTATGTTATTGACTGGGTGAACAATGATTGATCGGCATCTTCCTCACCATCATCATCATCAGTTAAAGCTTTCCTATTTATATTTCTTGCTATTTTAGGCTTTTTATGCATTTCATAATGTGACGACATATTTAACAAAGTGACAAAGATAAATCCCCAAACCTAGCACAAGCCCATGAGCTTTGAAAACAGCTGGCTGATATCTCACTAGAGCCACATTATATAATGTTATTACATTTGGGAATGTATCCATACTCTCTGAATTGCAGGGCATCTTGTAGACTAGTGCATTTCAATTAATTTATAAACTTTTGATTGGATTTACAATGGCTGCAAATTACAGTCTGGCATGATCATTTGGCTAACCTTATTTTAAATGATAGTTTCCGATTGGATCTGATGACAGGCAAAACATGGCTCCAGATGGTGCAACACATCATGGTGCTTCAGGAACCAAAATGATGACACAGTTATTGTAACACGCACAGTTTGGTGTGATGTGTCAATGTTCTATCTGATGCAAGGTTATGGTGATGTCACTTGGTTTCCGTCCCATTTGCTGTGGCTCAGCAAAATGGCCCAGCACAAGTGTTGTGCATAAATCTGCTGCTGCTGGTGGGGGGCGTGGGCTGCCGTGGCGACGGATGAGGAAGTGATGCAGGATGCAAACTGTGACTATGTTTCCATGATATCCTCAAGAGGGGGCAAGGAGATGAGATCACAGAGAGGGAAAAAAGAGCAGCTTTCTGTGCCACAAAGCAGACTGATAAAAAGACAGTACATTATCAAAGGATGAGGATATGAATCCA